GTACCTTGGTCCACCAGGTGTGCTGCAGTGTTAGTGGACACTCTGTAAAAATACAGACTTTAGTTTGTTGTTTATGAAGGTGTTTTAGATGCTTTTATTTTGAAGTTTCAGTGTTTGGTTTGTGAACCAACCCGGTGCCGAGGGAGTGGCCCCAGATCACCACCAGGCTGTCCCCGCTGCGGGCTTTGACCCAGTTGTACAGGTACACGGCGTCTGAGACCAGACCGCTCATGGTGGGCTCCCCTGTCGAGTCCCCGAAACCTGCAGAGAGTCATGTGACTGAAAGCCCTCCGAGCTGCTCCCTGCTGCCAGCAGAGGGCAGTCAGTCCTCAGAGGACAGAATCACAGCCAGCTGAGCCGTTCTCTTCACTGCCTGACAGAAAACGAGCCGTGAAGACCGACCCGCTCTATAAAACCTCTGAACCGTGTCGTACCTCTGTAGTCTGGAACCAGCACATGGTAGCCAAGAGAACTCAACAGCTGTTAAATATRAAACATTATTATTATTATTATTGAGAAATATAAACAAACACTATGATTTGTTCAATAATTCACACAGAACCCCACTGTAATTCTTCATCATGTTGCTGCTGCTGATGACTTACTTTAGCCACGCCCACCCGGTGTGGAGCTGCTCTGTGGAATTTAATTACAAAACACACAAGTTAACACATCAATGGTTTCTAAATAAGTAAAAAAGTTTTGTAAAACTTCTCTCTCCAGAAACTAAATGTTTATCACACCTGGTGTTGGTGTTCCCATGAAAATATATAAAAACTGGACTTCCATCATTTAAGGTGTTCTGGTACCAGGACAGGTCCTTCCCCTGAGCCTCCTTCCACCGATGCTCAGGAACAGTGTGCCTGAAAACATCACGTACATCTGATAGATCTAACCTTAACCTTAACCTAACCTAACCTAACCTTAACCTAACATAACCTAACCTTAACCTAACCTAACTTAACCTAAACTTAACCTAACATAACCTAACCTAAACTAACTTAACCTGAAAACATCACATACATCTGATAGATCTAACCTAACCTTAACCTAACCTTAACCTAATCTAACTTAACCTTAACCTAACTTAACCTAACCTAACCTGAAAACATCACATACATCTGATAGATCTAACCTAACCTTAACCTAACCTTAACCTAATCTAACTTAACCTTAACCTAACTTAACCTAACCT